CATTGCCAGGACTGTGACGTATCGTTGTTGCATCTCTTCTGGAGAGGCCGTGGTTCGTAACGTCTTGCAAACTTTCATTAGCGCATGCTGACAACTCCTTGGTTCGCATATATGAATTAAGCGAGAACTCCTTTTCCACCAAGTTCACGTCAAGTTCATCAGTAATACGAAGCCATCATTTGCCATTGTGATTTAATAAGAGCCGCTTCCTTGAATGTTTCAAAGCGGCTCTGCTCTTCTTCTGATAATATTGGGAAGAACGCAGTCGTCGTCACAGAGCGGCTGTCGTCATGTTCGATCGAGCTTGCTTCTGGCAGGCCACTGGAGAGAAATGATAAGCTTTAGGAGCAGCGAAAGAGCAAAAGAATTGAACAGAAACCGCCCTCTAGGCGGATGATTAGGGAACAGCTAACGTTAACAGGGTGCGGATTAGGTTTGTACCCACGATTAGATGAAGCAGCTTACTGGACAGCACTTGACCACTTTGAAAAGTTCTATGCATCCTATACCACCGACATCCTTGAAAAAGTTGCTCCTCTCCTGCCGTTCAACGCTGCTGCTGCTGTTAACTATTAATGAAGCAGCAATGGTCTTTTCAAGTTTCTCACTTTTGACTAGCTAGTTAGAACAGCATACGTTTTTTAAACCCGTCCCATAAAGCGCATGGAACATTAACACCACTATGTATCCATAATTTCTCTTGCTTACAAAAGTTTGCAGATTAGGTAAGGTTATCCAGCCGCGGTGAATCACCCAAAGTTGATTGGACATACTAGTAAATGGACTTCAAGGCAAAAGGGCGCTGCCCTTTTATGGCAACTGACCTGCAAGCAGGGTGGTCTGTTTTGTTTTGTCCCTGTCTGCAGGACGAATGTGGTCCTTCCTTTTTCGGGATTGACGTAAACAAGTGGCTCGAGCAACACGTCGCTGACCAATCGAAAAAAACACTCATTTAAAATGACCAACGAGTGCCCATAATTGGCAAAAATGACATTCTTGGGATCAACTTTTGACGGAAAATTTGTTGCTGCCCCATTGCCAAGAAAGGGTAAATGATTAGATCAGCCCACTGGAGCCTAACGAACCAATTTCATGGAGGAAGACACTGTGTCGTCGAGCTTAAAGGTTGCATAACCCCCATCGGTTTGCAGTGTGTGTGCAAATGCAATCAAGCAATCGCTTCTGAAATGCGTGTGCATTTTAGGTTCACTTCGTCAGTGACGTATTTTTGGATAATAAGCAAAAGTTGAAGTTCAATTTTCCATCGCTGCCAAATATTGACGCGTATTTTGCCAATTAGGAAAAACCGCCAAAAGCGATATATATTATCACAACACTGCGCCTACGCCGCGCGCAGAATTAATTTACGCGAAAGTGGCCACCTTCTTTTCTTCAGAATATTGGAGCCTACCTTGACACCCCGCCCAAAAGTTAACAGCCAAATGGCACACCAGAATTTTGTTAAATGTGCACGTATGCAGCAAGAGTTCAAAAAGTTCGTAAATGCAAACAATGTGTTCAGCTTTCTTCCGCCACCCAACGGGGCGGTAGTGAGCACAAATTTTCATACCGCCTATTGTGCCAATCCTTCTCCCGCTCGACTTTCAAGCTTTATGCAAAAAATTGTTAAGGCTATGCGCACCTATAAGCTAATCCGCTCTCTTATTTTGTATATAAGCTCAATCTAACATGGCAGTGCTATATATCTTTAAACTGCGCTGCGAAGTACCAACAATTACGTCAGCAGCTCGAACTTTAGCGCATCCAAAGTTATGATGCAAATTCTCAACACTTAAGGTTAGAAGTGTCGCATTCTAAGCGTCTGTAAAATTACCCGCTGCACAGGGTGTCAAGTTTGCACTTATTCAGCTTTAGGTGTTAGCTTACGTGGTATAATAAAGTTCACAGAGACATTCGCTGCTCATTGTGCCTTCATAATGTGGTGTTTTCACGCTAAGCCAAACTAACAGAACACGAAGGTTACTGGTGAACGAGAAAACTCGAAAAGCTTAAAATATTCACTTATGAAATTTTGGTGAATGACAAGGACGCATATGTGCACCTGCTAATGACAGAAGGATTATTATTGCAACTGTGCCCCGCTGTGAAAGTCAGCAAACAATACGCAAGTTGTTGACGAGGTTATGCGTATGTGTGCGATTCCACATCGTCTGATGTTCACGTGTACTACGAAGAAGAGGAAGAATAGTTGTTAGTTCATTTTTAGCTAAGCTAGCAAAGGATACGCTCCTTGGAAAAGCTGTTAGCATCCCGCGATTGTTGGAAGGTATCGAAAAAAAGCATCTAAACGAAAGACCGGTGCTTTTTCGGAATGATTAATCGAGTCACAGAGTTTGACTGGTGGTTGCACTTAAGGTAGAATGCTTTAGTGCGGCAGAGAGAGAGAGATACGCCAACATTTTTAGAACGAGCAGAGTTCCATTGCACTCGCGTCCAGGTGAACTTATTTGTCCATCGTTGCATCACTGAGAGTGCGTAGATAGCTCAGACGTTGGGCGAAGCGCAGTTGCGCAGAATAAAGAAAAATTTTCACGTAAGCTTCGGCAATATGCGGAGCAACGAAGGGGCGGCAAGCAATGCTTGTTGGCCTTGATAAGTTTTTGGTTTTGCGTAAACTGCGCATTGGTAGGCAAAAAAGCCACCACGAACGCACTGACACAATTCAATCACGCGTAAGTCATCTGACTCTGCCAATTGCAATTTATTCTACAAAAATATCTGACGCATTTGTTTGACCACGGAATGGAGCTGCTCAAAGTGCTCACTCCTTCTACCAACGCATCGTACATTGAACATATAAACTAGGCTTGTCGAAGTCTAGTTAGTGGCAACGTTTGGAGCTTAAGGCTCAGTAAACACGAACATAAAATAAATGGCCAAGTCAGGAGAACACTACGATGACCAAAAAGTAAAAAAAGGAATAAATGATCCGGCTGCTAAGAAGTCATGTCGAGCAACTGGATTTATTGATTTATTCCTCGTCAATGTTGCCCATATCGCCAAGCTCACGCAATAGCAATGAGCATATTGGCTTAAAGATGGTGGAAATTTAGGAACGTTCACCAAATTAAGCACATTTCTTCACGCTGCCCTAAAAAGCTTACATATACGATATGTTGGGTCTATTTCAAAGGCTTTGATCTCCGACAACCGTTCTTGCAAGTACCGCTTCGGCTTTTGCGCTTTACATGCATAGGTAACATAAAAGCAGTAGAAGTGTAAGTTGATCAGCCAATCGTAGCTGATATTCAAATTAGAAATTGTTGACATGCAGCCAATCAGAATATTACCCTGCGTAATCTCGCACTGTTGCTAGTCAATTATATATTAATAGTATGACGTACCAATTTAAATTTCTGCAAACTAAGTGAGAAAACGTCTGGCGATACATCAACATTGCAGCAGCGAAGTTGAAGAGACAAGACTTTACGTATTGCAGTTGCAATAAGATTAATTTTGCACAAAAGTGATCACGGCATCGCTGCAAAGTTAGACGGCGCTATTCTCCCTTAAGCTGCCTCTGCCTGCATACCGCCAATAGTCGTCTTGTAGCTTCTGTTGCCACCGGGAATTGGCTTGAAGTGAAATGATGCCGAAATGGAGGCTTCGTTAATCTTTTAAATTTTCCTTACTCCCCGAAGGCCGCTTAAAGCGATCGTTTCTCTCATACGACCTTCAGGTTAAGCTGAGGGTGGTCATTTAACGCGTTGCGGTCAGCCATCGTCCGCTAATCTAAAATGTTGCATTGAGAAAGCCAAAAGATGCTCATTGCTGCTCTATGGGCAAGTAAAGAATTATGGAATCGAACCTTTCCAGCCGGCCAGCGAACATTGATTTTTCCCCAAAAAAGACCATTCGGCAGCTTTGTGCGCCAATCTTAAAGTTTCTGATTCGCTCGTTTGCAATAATAGTTTATCAATCAGTTGCGATTAAGCATATTCACAAATAGTAAAATCGTGACCTTTGAAGCGTTAGGACAAAGCTGTGACAATTTCTCTCTAACGGAACCCAAAGCGACGAATTAGCAAGGTCGTCGACTATCCATCATTGATTAAGGCTAATAATGCCTACAAGTCGTTGGTAGCCACATTACATCATATATTTCAAAAATAGCTCTATCCGCTAACGCGTGCGATAAACAAAACTATCCGAGACAAAGAGCTCAGTGGCAATTATGTTATCTTTATGAAATAATTTCAAATTTGATGACTGCGATCAACCTGCAACTGTTTAGAATATTAAAAATCAATCCAACGAGCTTACGCGTCGGGCAGTTTATGCAAAGGCAAATGTTGAAGATTCAAAGATTTTTTGATCAATGAATTTCAATGACAAAAATGGCGAACTGTCTTTTTAGCGTTGTCAATGCTTAAGGTTTTTGTGAATTTTTAAAAACAACCGTCTCTCGTCAACTGACGGCAATAGGGGGCGAATTAGTTCATTCAATCTGTCCCCAGCTTGAACGGCATTGCGTTAATTGTCAAATATTGCTTGAAGTTGTACGGCCAATGCCTCTGCCCATTCATAGACAAAATTGCACTAATGAATTTGCTATTGACGTGAAAATCAAAGTAATCAATAGGCCCAATTGAACTCTACTCCGAACTGTCAGCACATTGAGCTTTTTTAAAAAACCGTACATTTATTTTCCGCGAAATTTCGGCAATTAAAAATGGGTCATGCAATGAAAAGCAGTTCTGAGTTATTAACGTAGCGTACGCAGTCGCGCATGATGATGCAGGAAGGGAGCAAATGGCGCCCATAATAGTTCCCTAACCTTTACAAATGCCTGCGCTAAGCTAAATATTTCGAAATACGAAGCATAAAATATTGTACTTCTGTTCATATGTTTTGTTAGTAATCTTAATTGAGGGAACTTAAAGAATATGAGAAATAGTAGGAGCTAATTCAGCGAGAGCAGAGGCGAATACTGTCCATCTCTTTGATTATCAAGTACTGATTCACTTACTGTATTTATACCTCTGATAGCTCAGTTGGTAGAGCGGCGGTTGTTGTTGCACAAACAGCCACAGGTCGCCGGTTCAAATCCGCCTCAGAGGAAAACTTTTCCATCCATGTAAACATTACTTTTAATGCTCCAAATTTCTTGATAAAGGCTAAACGTTTACCTTGATGTTGTTCAGGTTTGAGCGCATGCATTTCCCATTGTTGGTATTACTTTCATGCACTATGATGCACAAAGGAGAAAACTGAGTTAGTCATCTGTACAGAGAAGTTTTGAAAAGTTTTCGTCTGACTTCACTCAAACGATTTTTCTTCTTCTTCTTCTTCTCCTAGTTTTATTTCAAGAACTTTCATGCATACAGAACATGGAAATGCCGTCGTATATTATTTGAAATCCATAGTGTTCAATGAGTTGGAGTTTTAAAATCCGTGGTCCATACTAACTGACTGCTTCGACATCCTTACGTATTCGAAAAGTTTCAAACTACTGATAAGTTGTTCGGTCATATATGGTCTTGATAGTTTCTAAGACGACGTGCGTGCTGAGCAACTTAAAAAGGAATCTGTTTCAAAACACGAACAAAGCCACTATCAAACTTACAGTCATCCTTAATGTACACCACTGTTTACAGCAGTGCTGTGCATTAATATTATCAATAGGTTGCTACATAGAAAGTTAAAGTTTTGATTGGCACTTTCATTTTTTTGAAGTGTAGGAGTATTTTGCTGTATTGGCTTAGTTTGATTTTCATAGCTGCCTTTACTGGACAAGTGCAAACATGGGATTATTGCAGCTCATGCTTGCCGAAATTGTGCTCATGTTTGCGGATGAATATACCCCGAAGGAAAGCAGTTTAATTAGATGCATTGAGCATCTGTATTGCTCTGTAGGGAACCCCAAGTTTTGGTAAAAGTTTACAAGGACGGTGGCTCAAAATTTAGCCGAGTAGCTACTGCTTCATCATGCAATCCGCATGAAGCACAAAGACCAAACAAAGTTCCAGTTTCCTGCTGCGTCCAAACAAAAGATCTTTCATAGATCAGATCATCAGGTCTGGTAGAAAGTCATAGCTGCACAATAGCAACAAGTGTAATGTCCTACGGCTGGTTAAGCATACGCCAAAATGGACCTTCATCCGGAGACGGATATCCCATCTGGTGGCGCTGGTGTATAAAAGCCATTGTCCATTATCGGTTTTCAAGCTTTACGAAATCATCGCTCCAAACGTCTGCTAATGTGATCTGTTGGCTAGTCATGAAAAACTGTTATAACATACGCTAGCTAATCGCGGGAAGCAGTTTCTCCACTACTACAATGCTCAGCCATATACTGCTTCATAGGCCCATGAAGAAATTGGATACTCGTCAGACCTCTTCTTGCCCAGCGGTTCACTTTTTTCGCTCATTCGAAGGACATCCACGCCAGAAACTATACTGTATAGAATTCTTAACACAAGTGACAGTGCTGTTGTTATTACTTATGATACAGTCGTCACAATCGTTGAAGCTATTGCGCTTAAGTAACAAATGCCTTCATTTGCTGACAGCGAAGATTTCCTCTCAGGGAGAACTCGTATTGTTCAACTGCATTGAATATTCAATGGGCGGCAGCATGCCTTTAAGTCGTTGGTATTAAGTAGGGGGTGTAGCGATAGAGCAAAACATGGTAACATTGATCAGATGAGTCATCACTCAGCTGACTTGAGCTCTCTCATCTCTGCTCATTGACTCATTGTGCTGCATTGAAGAGAGTTAGTCAAATTCTCCGATGGTGAATAGGCACTCACGGCATAAAGCCTTATCTAAATGTTCGACGACAGCGGAAGCTTTGATAGCTTTACGCGATCATAATGCCGCCGTATATTGATTAAGGTTCCTTTCTTTTCGTGATTACAGACTCTTACAACAATATTAGCAGGTTCACTAGCAGTTAAAGAAGAGACGTAACAAACGACTTTATCATGTAACATGTTGGATGTGCCGAATAGCTTCACTTGCAAGTCGTCGCTTCAAAAACTCCAAAAAGAGGCGCTAAAAGTTTAATGCTATCTTAGTCAGTTTTAACGTGCACTATTTGCGAGCCTATTGGAATTAGCATATGAACTACACCGCCAAGTTGCAGTTGCGAAAAACAAAGATACACTGACATCTCTGCTTATAAGCATTTGTCAAATTCAGCGCACCACAAAGAGACGACGGCCTTTGTCAGAGTTACGAACGAATGTACAATTTCCAATTTCAAAGACAAGCGGCCGACAAGCAAGTAAAGATGAGCGACCAATGAGCAAATCTTTAAACGGCATGTGGGCAGGCAATTCTTAAAGGAGCCTTTATTATTATTATTATTATTATTATTATTATTATTATTATTATTATTATTATTATGCAGATATTAATACAATCAGCAGATTCATTGAAACGCTTCGTTTAGGCATTAAAGGACTTCACTTGCTGGTAGCAGAGGTGATAAAATATTCAAAGATGCGCAGCCACAACGTAGCGAGAGAACAGCACACTTTTCCCCGCAGGTGTCGCTACTGTAGGCTTGCGGGGGCGTAGGTGACAAGTCTTTAAAGTCTCTACTGCCACGATGCGACTTACACTTTGCCTAAATATTATTTGGCATTCTGTATAATGGCTAGGCTTTGTATAGAATGCGTAGGCAAAGTATACAGCATATTAAAATAATACAGGCATTTCGCGCTTTGCCTAAAAACGTCACGCATTCTATAGAATACCAGCATATCATACGTTGTCTGTAATATATCTAATGCTTCTTCAGTGTCGCGAGTTATGAAGTTTACACAGGGCACAATGGCAACAGGAAGTGTGCACATGTTCTGTAGTAGAGCCAGCTGTCACAGACCTGACTACTTAATACAGGGGAGGGACAGAGTAGGGTTCCGTTTCCTTGAACATTTGAAGATTGTCCTCCTTCAGTCACACGAGGGTTGTATTAGTACGCGTACTTCGAACACGAAGTGTTCGAAGTATAAGCACACATGGAAAGTACACTTGTAAGAAGAGGAAATCCAAATCCATCCTTTTCTTCTCTTTTTCCTTATACGCGCTACGCTAAGGCGGGAAGGCAAATAGCAGAGTAGTAAAACTGATTCATCATTGTATATAGTCTAAAGAGCTGTACAGATAAAAGTCTTCCCTTGCAGGTCAGAATGTATTAAAAATATTGCAGCTGCACAGGGAAGCTCCGAACAAATCCCGTTTTATCGAATCCCTCCCTTTTAAGGTCGTTAAAGAATACATTTTCATATTCAAGCCTGAGTGATGGCGCTAAGCTGCCAACAATGCTTTCTTAGCAAATTTCCCATAGCTGTCTAACGACGTTTCCATTATCCTTATACGACTGTATAGCTGCTGCTGTCGCGCTCACGAACGGCTCGCTATAATCGAGCCGCCTTGAATGTCAAGTGGTAGGTGGCTGTTTAGGGGGAATAGTTTTTCTCAAAGTTTATCTAACAACCGTGGCGCGTTTCCATTCAGCGGCGTATCCATCCGCTCATTGAAGTACCGTTCTTGCTGTCAACTTTTGATTGTTCTTGTTTTAATTTTATTTACCCAGCTCGCGCTACGGCCCAACGAGCGCGATATGTATTGAATGATGTTCTTGGGAAACTGTTTTTTTATTTGCCCAGTGTTTATCTTTTGGTTCGTCTACGATTGGGCTGTTTCCTTTGAGAACTTACGCGCGCGCTGTCACTCTCCGCTCCTCTTCACTGAAAGCCTTAAAGCGCCGCCGCGCGCGCTTAAAGCAACTGAGGCAAAATGGTGGTGGCGCTCTTTATGGTCGCCTGGAAAAAGGGGTCAAAGCGGCGGTGATAGGCGTGAACGCGATTGGAATTAAGATAAAAGAATTTCCAGTGGCCACGTTCAGATTCGTTGAAATGCTAACTTATGGGCAATTAAAGCACGTTTATCTTTGAGCCGGCGGCCAGTACGAACCCCCTTTGTTCTTGCCTTTAGCCAATGATGACAAAATGCTAAGCTTAATCAGCGCCCCCCATCGGCACAAACGCGCTATATGCTCTTACCGACCAGCAATTTCAAAGTGAGTATGTTCACATAGAGATGATAGCGGTGGACAGCGACAGCTCTGCTCCGGTAAGCTTGACTTTTCTAACGTTGTTCGATTCGTTCCCGCGCGGCAGGCAACCGTCCGAATGTGTAAGCAAAGCCAAGGTTTGATGAATGGCCATTGGGTTTTTGCATAGATTTTTCGTCGTTAATCATAGCATTATCTATTCCAAACTTCACTTTAGTCGTCACCGTTCGGGGCTGCATTGCTCGACGCCATCTAAACTTGCTGGCCCGCAGTTGGTTCTCACTGATCCAACCGGGCGTTGTCGTCTTGTTGTTGTTACCACGGCCACTCCGCTATGAGGAAAATATTATATACATACATTAGGCTGTCACGTGATGCGGTCAAGCCTTATCCTTCAAAAGGCGAACCCTACGCGAGTTGCCCTTTTCATTGATGAATACTTTTTTAAAACTAACTAAATAACCAGCAAGGGAAGAGTGAATTAATTCAACGAGGCGTTAAGTCACAAGTTCCTTGCTCATTTCGCTTAGTCGGTGGCAATCATCAAGTTTGTTCGTTCGCTAAATGCATCCTTGAAGAAGTGTGCATTCATCTTGCTCAGCTGGACAGCTAAGCCATGTTGGTTGCACTTATTTTTGGCTAAACAATTAGCGCTTTTCTTGTTCGACAACAAAGATGTTCGCAACGCCTTGCCGCTTTGTGCTGCTGGATTTTTTTCCCAAATTTCTTGAGAAAGAGAAAGTGAGAGAGCGAGAGAGAGCTTTTTCAAAGATTTATTCAAACATTGCAACTTTTCATTCCGGAGAAGCATTGCTCGTCTCTGATCCATAGGAAGGCCTTATATGGGACTTAGAAAACTGATAGGAAGTGGCAGAAGGTTCTACCACAACGTTCACGCGCTCCTCCTTATAGCAATAACAACTACAATAGTAATAATAATAACAATAAGGGGTGTAGCAATTGTTGTTGACTTGTCCACTTCGCTGCTAACCCCTTCTAAAAACCAGTAAACAACCCAGACGTGTTAGACGTGATA